AGACACAGGGGTGAGACAGAGGGATGAGACACGGGTGAGACAGAGGGGTGAGACAGAGGGGTGAGACCCCCCTGTATCCTGGTAAATATAAACATCTCTTAACAAGACAGATGACAGGATTGCTGACCGACCCCTCCACCCCCACTCTTGCCTCTGCCCCCGGGGGGAGGGGGGGCAGCAGCTACAGCTGTGCTCACTGACCTGCTCAGTTCCTTCTCCAGCTGATGCTGTTTCTGAACCGTGGCTTCTCTCTCTGACTGCAGTTCCTCCTTGTCCCTCCGGAGGGCAGCACATTCACTCTGTAAAGCGTTCTTCTCCTTCTGCTGCTTGTTCACCAGGTCCTGCTTCTCAGAGCGCAGCAGAGCGCACTCCTTCTGGAGGCCGTAACACTCCTCCTGCACAGACTGCAGTGCACCAGCTGAGGACAAAGAGATTATAATCCAGGGTTAGGATTAATCAGGGACAGGCCTTTGGTCTGATGATGTTGGATCCAGATGTGAACTCTCTCTGCCTCATGTGCACAGTTTTACTCACTCTAGATTAGACCTGGACAAACTAAGGCCCGCGGGCCAGATACGGCCACTGGGACCACCAAACACTGGTAACAGATGATGTCTGATGAAGACTGATGTCAATACTTCTGTTTGATACAATGGAACAAATTAATTGCAATTGCAGTTGACGCCACTAGATGGCGGCAGACATCAAACGTGCCAAACTATCTTACTATAAATAGAGGTTTCAGTTTATTCTTGTGCATTTTGTTCACATTATTTCTACATGTGACCAGTACAGAGCCAGCCCACAGGTCAGATTCACAGGTCAGGTTTAGGTTAATGATAATTAACTAGTGACCAGTTCAAAGTGTTACCTTGTATTTCTGCCGTTTTCTGCCACTGTTTGCTCTGCTGCTCAAACGCCAACGGCAGGTTCTTCACGTCGTGCTCATATTTACTGGCCGTCTGACGCCACTTGTCCAGATCAGAGGAGGCGTTTGCCAGGTCGGCCTGCAGGGCGCTAACGTCGCGTTCCCGATCTGCAGCAGCTGATTTCAGGGCGTGTTTCAGTGATGTAATCTCGTCACGTGCGCTGTTGTAAGCGTCCACTTCATCCTGGAGCTGCTGCAGCTGACCTGGTCGATGGAACACTTTACTCAGACTCCAGAATTACAATTTAACAACAAAAAAAAACAAAAACAAATTGAAATGTTGTCATAAAACCTTGAAGATGTTGGATCTGTTTGGCAGATTCCTCCACCTGCTGCCTGTTGTCTTTCCTCTCCTCTTCCAGGAGACCTGAGGAGTAGAAGTGCATCACAGGTGAGGAACAGCGCCCCCTGTCTGAGGGACTAACAGGAGGATGTGAGGAGACGTTACCCTTTAGCTCCACGTTCTTCTGCCGTTCTGTATCTGCACGCTCCTGGGCCTCTTGAAGTTCTTCATTCAAGCGCTGGATCATTTTCTCTGTGTCATCAGATGAACCCATGTTTGAGCTCCTTAGATCATCTGCAGGAAAAGATGAAGCATGAAAGACAGATGTTGATGGAGCAGCACTAGGACCATCCATCCAACCATCCATCCATCCATCCATCCATCCGTGGATCACTTGTTGTGATCTGAACATCA